CCCGGAACGACTCGTTGCAGACCGGACACTGCAAACAAAAACAAAGATATCAGAACATGATTCTTTTTTTCCTTTATCAGGTTGTACTTACTTGTTGTCTGGTGCTCACTTTTCCTTTTTCGCCCGATGTGAATTTCGGTTGTCAACCTAAAACTTAAAACACGATGGCCATCTCGGCTTTATCAGCCATCATCAAGCGATTATAATAAACGAAGAACGAACTAAAATAAAACGAAACGAAAGTTAAAACATAATATAGAGTATTATTAATGGTGACGCGTCTCGAAACTCTAAAAAATACTCTCTGTAGTGTTTTAACTTCCGTTTTGTTTTATTTTAGTTCGTTCTTCTTTCTCTATAATCACCTGATGATGACTGATAAAGCCGAAATGGTCATGGTGTTTTGAGTTTTAGGTTGACAGCCGAAACTTTACATCGGGCAAAAAAGGAAAAGTGAGTACTATGATATCAGACCATATAGACTAAAATACACCACTAAAAATGTAAAAATGGAAACGTTGGATGGAGAAAATGCCTCTGAAATGCATTCGTAAATAAACAGTTAATAAGCATTTCTAACCGTTGTCCGGCTTCAACTGGACTGAATTCATCAAAAAGAAACCAACCCACATTCTCGAAGAAATTCAGTTAAGAATGTCTTCAAGTTCCACTAGTCGTATACTTTCTCCTGCCAAAAACTGAAAGTAAAAAAACAGAAATTAGTTTGTGAAGAGAGGGGCTATAGTTAATTTTTTTACATTGAGCCTTATAAAGATATAAAACTTCAAACCTCTTTTTCTTAGTTTCAACTTAATGTGAGTTGGCTCCTTCCTGATGAACTCGGTCCAATTAATCCCCATCAAATTTTGAAGAACCACGTATTATACGACTCTGTACATAAACTGGACACGTAACATATCTCGATAAGGAGTTGATTTCCGTAATTTCTGTTGCGCAATGATATTTTACGTGAAATTTTGGTGCAGAAATATGTATCAGAATACTTAAATTCGAGCTTTGTTTATTGTCGCTATGTCGCTCGCTTGGCCGACAAAAGGATGCAACTACACTTAGAGATAGCGCGAGAAAGCATTGAGTTTTATGAACAACATCCTTCATTTCGAAGTTTAGTTACGTCCTTGTCAGGAAGGCGACGACTAGACAAGGGAGCAAAAGCTGTCAAAACCACTGCCAGCAATAGCAAAATGCGAACCTAAGTCGTGCAACTATTCGAGCTCCGAAGTAGTGGGGTTGCGGTGTGCCGTGGATGAAGGCGCACAGCAATTCTCTTCGTCGTCGCATCTGATTCTGAATGTGAAAGGACTACAAGGTAAAGTGCAAATTTCAGCATTATTATACATGCTATGTCATCAGAATTTCACGTAAAATACGATTTATACTGTGAAAATGAATATTACCCTTTTTCTCAAGCACAATTTTTAATTTCCCGCTCATAGAAAAAATTATATCTACTTGAGTTGAATCGCACTCAAACTTTGACGTGGCATTCTTTGTAGTATGAAAATGTGTCAACATTAACATCGGTGCTTCCTTCTCATAATTCCTTTCCTCCGTCCCCTCTCTCATTCTGTATGTTCCCCAACGTACCCCTAATTCCTCGGTCCATTTCAGGTCATAGTCTTTGCTATTGATGAAAATGTAGCCTTTACTCCTGTTTGCGACACTGTGGAGACCTAAAATACGGAGCCAATCAGAAATGGATCCCATGTGTCTTTATTTCATTTTAAAGAGACTCTAGTAGAGCTAAAAATGTCGTTCCCTTCTGGCCAAAGTATCACAAGCGCTATGCGACGTTTACAAATTTCCGCCACCACTTTAGTTTTTTACAGAGAAATTTTTTAACAGAGCTGTCCGAAAATTTCACTAAATTTTCTTTGAGATGCCTGCTGTAAAATTCAGTGAAATTTTCGAACAGATTCAACCAACAATCTTTCTGTAAAACAATAAAATGGCGGCGGAAATTGTGAATCGTCGCGTGGCGCTTGTGATACTTTGGCCGGAAAGTGACGATGTATTAAAGCATGTGTCCCTCTTACCTTGAGCTTCTCCTCTCGGCGTTTGCGTAGCGTGTCATTGGCCGTGGTCTCGCGCTTGTGGTGTGAGCGCATGTGGTAGACGAGGTCAGAGGTCATGCGGAAGCTGACCTTACACTTGGCGCAGACGTTTTGGGCCGGGAGGGTGAGGGCGGCCAGCGAGGAGGGCAACACCGTGGCGGCCGCCAGAAGGGGCATCGGCACCGCTTGCCGCGGGAACGCCGTCATCTGCGGGAACGGGTAGTTGGGCACCGACAGACCCGGGTACGGGAACTCGCTGGGGAACGCCCCCTTCGGTACCCCCGACGGAAACGCCTTCTTCTCCTCCGGGAACATCTTCCCGACGACCTGGAGGAATAATGAAAGTCGATTAAACATCAAGTTTTCAATTGAAGAAACAGATCTAAGTATGAGAAGAGGCTTTTCAAAATCCTCATCCCTAGTGGCAAGGGCACGAGATTGCTGCATTATGATTTCAACCGTAAAGAAAGCGAAAAATCGTCGTTTCTCCGACGCACAATGGATCGAGTCAATGGGAGCGGTCGGACATGATTTAAAAACTTGAAAAGCGTATATCTTTACTAATATGAAATTATGATGTTTTAAAAGTAGTATTATTAGTTTCCTACTAAAATTTTCCACAAAAAGCACTCCTTGAAATTAAAATCGTGACGAGATAAACGTAAAATTTTATAATTTTCATCAAACTTTCATGTCCGACTTCTTCCATAGACTCATTCCGCTGTACGATGAGGGAACGTAACTTCATTCCAAGGTTTCAAAAGTAACTCAAAAAATGCAATACTTTTCCAAGAGCGAACTTCTGTAATTATTGCTCAATTTATCCTGGTTTTTGCATGAAATTAGAAGAAAAAGCATTAAATTTTCAAGAATCTTACTCGCTTTTCTTTCTTCGGACAACATCAAGACCAAAAAAAGAAAAGTGAGTTACATTCTAGAAAAATCAACAAGCTGATAAGGTAAAATTGCTGTTCAATTTAATTTTCAGTCAAAAGTGCCCAAGATTCCTCCAGTAAAAATGTAATCTGTAAAGGGACATTCGGCAACATTGAGATGTAGTTACATTTTTTGTGCAGTTCATATTTCGGAAAATTAATAAATAAATCATTTCTGCTCACCCTGTAGTAACACAACAAGTCGGTTACTTTTTCTTTCTGTGAAAATCTAATGTCCAATGAAGTTTGGAACTTACCTTTTCCCTGGGGATCTCGTAAGGTGTCATGGCGGGGTGACGAACGAAGGGTTCAGGTGAGCGGAGACTCGGGGGGCTGAGGGAGTCCTGGTAGCTGGGATCGGGAGAGGCCCCACCGCCCCCCGAGACCCCCGAGAGCTGCGAGGACACCGAGGGGGACGGCGAGGGGGTGA